GACTCTCAGGATGATAACAGAGCACTTGCTGCACTTAGACTCCGTCACGTTTTGAGTCGACTCAAAGCACGACTCAGTCACGTTCCTTCTTTTCAATCTCCTCCTCATTCAGCTTCTCCTGCCCTGTCCTTGCTGTGGCCTTGAGTGCAGCTGCTGGCCGTTCTGGGGACTCCAAGAAAGATAGCAGAGCATCTCCGGGGCTATAACTCGGCCCCTTTCGTCGCTTCCTCTTCATCCTCGTCCATCTCTTCCATCCCATCCCTCTTCCTTACTATCCTGCAGCTGGTGGCCGATCTGAGGACTCTCAGAAGATAGCAGAGCACCTGTTGCGCTACGACTCGGTAAGCGTCCTGCGCTTCATCCGCATCCTCTGCCCTGACTTCCACCCCATCCCTCTTTCTTCCTATGCTGCAGCTGGTGGCCGACCTCAGAACCCTCAGGAAGATAGCAGAGCATTTGCTGCGCTACGACTCGGCCACCTTCCCGCGCTTCCTCAGCATCCTCATTCCCATCCGTCCTCCACCCCATTCCTGCTGTTGTTTCCCATGCAGCTAGTGGCCGATCTGAGGACATTGAGGAAGATAGCAGAGCATCTGCTGCGCTACGACTCGGTCATTTTTCTGCGCTTCCTCCCCCCAGCCCTCATCCTGATCTCCCTCTTCCCACTCTCTTCCATCCTATACTTTTCCTCCACCCTATACTTTCCTTTCCTATCATGCAGCTGGTGGCCGATCTGAGGACGTTGAGGAAGATAGCCGAGCACCTGTTGCGCTACGACGCGGTCACCTTCCTGCGCTTCCTGGATGCGCTCAAGGCGAGCGAATCAAAGGCCGCCATCTGGATCTTCGTGGACCCCGCGCCCAAGATATTTGAGCTGGCAAAACGGAGGGTGTACCAGGTGTGTGGGGCTGGTATATGTTAGAATTATACATTGTAGCATGCTAAGCACATGTGACTGTACACCAATTGTGGTGTACAGTTGGGTTGGGACTACACCCAACATTGGGTGTAGCCTTGCACTTTGGGGTGCCAATCCACCCAATTGTGGTGGAGCCCCCAAATTGCAACCCTCTTGACTTTTGGGTACCTCACTTCACAATTGAGGCCACCACAAGCCAAGTGGGCCTAGGGTTGCCACACTTCTTAGAAGTGTGGGCAACCCAACCCACCCCACCTTTGGTTGCTTCACTTCCCAAAGTGAGGCCAACCCAACCATAGGTTGGGTTCCTCCTTCCCTTCCAAGCTTCTCTTCCCAAACTATGTATGCTAGGTTTGCTCTCTAATGAGATCATTTGTTCAATTCACATCTTTCACATGGTATAGAGCTAGTTGTTCCTCAAACCTTAACTCTCCCTCCCTCAAGTTTTTTTTTCCTATGGGCCCACCCCACAGCCACAATTTCCCTCCTACATTTAGCTCGACCTAGCATACTCTAGCAAGCGCATCGCCGCCTCCTCCCCTAGCCGTCGCGGCCATCCCGCCGCGCCGTCTCCTCCCCTCGCCGCCGTGGCCATTTCGCCGCCGCCGCCTCCTCCCCTCGTCGCCGCGGCCACTTCCGCCGCCGCCGCCTCCTCCTTTCGCCGCCGCGGCCGATTCCGCCGCCGCCGCCTCCTCCCCTCGCCGTCGCGGCCGATTCCGCCGCCGCCGCCTCCTCCCCTCTCCGTCGCGGCCGTTCCGTCGCCACCGCCTCCTCCCGTCGCCGCCGCGGCCGATTCCGCCGCCGCCGCCTCCTCCCGTTGCTGCCGCAGCCGATTCCGCCGCCGCCGCCTCCTCCCTTCGCCGCCGCGGCCACTTCCGCCGCCGCCGCCTCCTCTCCTTCGCCGCCGCGGCCGATTCCGCCGCCGCCGCCTCCTCCCCTCGCCGCTGCGGCCGATTCCGCCGCCGCCGCCTCCTCCCTTTGCCGCCGCGGCCACTTCCGCCGCCGCCGCCTCCTCCCTTCGCCACCGCGGCCGATTCCGCCGCCGCCGCCTCCTCCCCTCTCCGTCGCGGCCAATTCCGCCGCCGCCGCCTCCTCCCTTCGCCGCCGCGGCCGATTCCGACGCCGCCGCCCCCCCTCCCTTTGCCGCCGCGGCCACTCCCCCCGCCGCCGCCTCCTCCCCTCGTCCCCGCGGCCGCTTCCGCCGCCGCCGCCTCCTCCCCTCGTCGTCGCCTCTCTCACACCGTCGCCGCCTGCGCCTCCCGCCGCGGCGCCCACTTCCTCCCCCTTCCCCTTCTCCCCTCCCCTCCACAGCAGCGGCAGCAGCGGCAGCAGCGGCAGCAGCGGCAGCAGCGGCAGCAACGGCAGCAGCGGCAGCAGCGGCACCAGAGGCAGCAGCAACAGCAGCCGGAGCAGAGCTCCATCCTCCTGCAGCAGCACCTCCCCCTCCCCCCCCCACCCCCCCCCCCCTGTTGGCCGCCGCGGGTCCACCCGCCGTCGTCCCCCTCGAGGCCGCCGCGGGTCCACCCGCCGTCGCCCCTCATGGATACCACTCCTCCCCCTCTTCCCCCTCCCATTGACGCCTCCTCCGTCGACAAGCTCCAACTTGCCGCGGACCGCTCGGCGATCAATTGGCACTCCTTCGTCGGGAGCATCCGCCGCGTTCTTCAGGACGCATTCGTCGGACCCTACTGCGTCCTCGACGTCCTCCTCCGCCGCCCGCAAGCTCTCCAGCCCACGGCACCCAGTCACCCCGGCGAACCCCCTCCACCCCCCGATCCTCCTGGCCCTCCTCCTTCTGAACCCACCTTGGAGATCGCCACTACCGCAGCGCTCCAGAGTGCCGCCGATGCCACCTTCCTCCATGACCGCCGCGAGTACCTCATCCGCAAGGCAGAGCACGAGGTCGCAGTCCACCATCACGACTTCGCAGTAGCGGAACGCGCCAACCGCCTGGCGCTCCTCGATGAGTACAACACGGCCATGGCAGACTACCTCCCCAAGAGCATTGCATGGGCCGCTGCTGACAACCGCGCCTGCACCATCCTCCTCGGCGCACTCCCTGATACCCTCATGCGCCGTTTCCAGGCTCGGGAGATGCGCGCCTCCCTCATCTGGGCCGAGCTCCAGGCAATGTTCGAGCGCCGCGACATCAGCTCTGTCGGCGCCCTGTTCCAGGAGTACTTCTCCATCACCCTCGCTACCTGTGACGGCGCAGTTGACTACGTGGGGCGCATGCAGGAGGTCGCTGACCGCCTTGCTGCACGCCAAGCTGCCCTCCCCGAGCCACTGCAAATCCACCGCCTCCTCTACAACCTCACCCCGGACTACGAACCCCGCCTCCATGCCTTCACTGAAGCGAACGCCATGGCCGGCCTCAACGACGTGGTCCAATGGATCATCGACACGGAGGTCAAGCTCCGCACCCCCGTTGTCAACCTCACCACCCCTCAGCCCTCCTCCTCCAGCTCCCTCAATGCTACGCAACCGCGCAACCAGGGTGGTCGCAGCGGTGGCGGTGGAGGCCGTGGAGCGGGTGGTGGTGGTGGAGGTCGTGGCGGTAGTGGTGGTGGTGGCGGTAGCCGTGGTGGCCGTGGCGGAGGTGGTGGTGGTGCTAGTAGTACCTCTGCTGGAGGACCGTCCGGTGCTAGTGGTGCTGTGACTCGAGGCGCTCGCCCTGGCACTCTCCCCCCATGCACGTATGTGCGCCGCCATGGTCCCCATGCTGGTACCCCTTGCGGCCAAACCAACCATCCCCCCAGCACGTGCTTCAAGGCGCTCGACGACGCCTGGTTTGACCGAGGTAACACTGGCACCCCTCCTCGCTGGAACACTGTCACCCCTCGCCCCTCCCTGGTGGATGTTCAAACCCTCCCATCTTTCCTTCCTGCTCACCTCCGCCTGGTTAGCCCCTCCCAGCCTTCCCAGCTGCAGCAATTCCAGCAGCACCAGCAGCAGCAGCATCAGTACTTCCAGCAGCAGCAGCAGCAGCAGCAGCAGCAGCAGCAGCAGCAGCCGCAGTTTCTCCAGCCGCAGCAGCCGCCGCCGCCGCATTTCTTCCAACCGCCGCCGCAGCAGCAGCAGCAGTTCCTTCCCCCGTACTGGCAGCAGCAGCCACTGACCTTCGGCACGGCGGCTACGGCCGCCCATGCCTCCCTTGCTCCCCCCCCTCCCTGGGGTTCCCTCCCCTCTGCCCCCCCAAGTGTCCCCGACACTTCGGGCAGTTTCCTCGGTAATGTCAGTATTGCACCATCCGTCGCTTCCATGTATCCCTCTGCTATCAATGAAACCTCTTTTCAGTACCCCATGTCACCTCCTCCTCCTTCCTCCCCCACCCTGGACTTCGTCCTTGATAGTGGGGCCACTGAAACCGCACTAAAAGACGCAGGTACTCTCACCCCCCTTCCACTTCCCACTCAGGTTCATGGAGCTGATTCCAGTTTTTCCATCCCTTGCACTCATCTCTCCACCCTCCCCTGCACTGCCTTCCCCTCCGGTAAAGTCACAGGCCTCCACATCCCCACTCTCCGCAACAACCTCATCTCCCACCGTGAGCTCCAAGGTGTTGGTATCACTGCCATCTACCCTGGTTATGCCAATTACTGTGACCTCTACCAAACTTCCTCTGGCCGCTTCCTCCTCCGCATCCCACTCTGCCCTCGCACTCGCCTCTACACACTCCGCACACCTCGCCCATCCTACTGCCACGTCACCACCCGTGCTGGTACTTCCACCGGTCCACCCCCCCCCTCCTTTACTTCCCCCCTCCCCTCCCCCTCAGGTATCCTCTCCCTCCCCGCCATCCTCCTCCTCCCCTCCCGTCCCCTCCATCACCCCATCTCCCTCCTCCTCCACTACCCTCTCGCACCCTGCCGTTCTCTTACACCACAGACTCGGCCATCCCAACTTCACCGCCCTTCGCACCACAGTCACCTCCCGCCTCCTCCGCAGCCTTCCTCCCGTCTTACCCCCACTTCCCTCCTCCCCCTCTCCCCCATGCCCTTCATGCATTCACGGCAAGCTCAAGCAGTCACCCCACCACAGTCATCCCACCTTCGCCGCCGCCCCCATCGACCTTGTCCACATGGACCTCTGGGGCCCCTATCCCATCCGCTCCCGCCAGGGGCACCGGTACATGCTCGTCCTCGTTGACGACCACAGCCGGTACTCCACCACCTTCTTTCTTCACACGAAAGACCAGGTGCCGGCAGTGGTCATCAACTGGGCCGAGCTGTGCCGCAATCACTTCAAACGCCCCATTGGCCGCCTTCACTCTGACGGTGGGGGTGAGTTCATCAATAACACTCTCGCCTCATACTGCAAAACCTACGGCATCCAACAGACCTCCACTCTTCCCCACTCCCCTCAGCAGAACGGCATTGCCGAGAGCCGCATTCGTGAGATCACCAAGATAGCTCGCTGTCTCATTGCTCATGCCTCCACCCCGCCTTCCCTCTGGAGCTATGCCCTCCTCCACGCCGCCCTTCTCCTTAATCTCCGCTCCCATCCTCAGCACCCTTCCTCCTCCCCCACAGAGCTTTGGTCCAACACCAAACCTGACGCTGCCGGCCTTCGAGTCTGGGGTTGCAAGGCCTACGTTCTCATTCCACCCGCCGATCGCTCCTGCGCCGCTGGCAAACTTGCTCCTCGTGCCTTGGAATGTGTTTACCTTGGGCACAACCGCGACTCCCCAGGCTACCTCTTCCTCCACCCTCCCACCAATCGCCTCATCCGCAGCAGCGACGTCGTCTTCGACGAGTCCATCCCCTATTACTCCACTCCTCCCCCTGACCCTCTCCCTCCTCCTACTCGCCCTCTCGCCTGGACCGATACCGTCCTCCCGCCTCTCCTCCCCCCCGCTCCCCTCCTCCCACCTGTCGCCGCTCCACTCCCGCCTCCCTCCTCTGCCGACGTCTACAACCCCGCTGCACCTGCCTCTCCCGCCCACTCAGCTGCACCCCCTCCCTCCCCTCCCTCCTCCCATCACTCCCCCGCCCTTCCGCACCAGCAGCAGCAGCCGGAGCAGCAGCAGCAGCAGCCGGGGCAGCAGCAGCAGCAGCCGGGATGGCAGCAGCAGCAGCAGCCGGGGCAGCAGCAGCACCGGCAGCAGCAGCAGCAGCAGCAGCAGCAGCAGCAGCAGCAGCAGCAGCAGCAGCAGCAGCAGCAGCAGCAGCAGCAGCAGCAGCAGCAGCAGCAGCAGCAGCAGCAGCAGCAGCAGCAGCAGCAGCAGCAGCAGCAGCAGCAGCAGCAGCAGCAGCAGCAGCAGCAGCAGCAGCAGCAGCAGCAGCAGCAGCAGCAGCAGCAGCAGCAGCAGCAGCAGCAGCAGCAGCAGCAGCAGCAGCAGCAGCAGCAGCAGCAGCAGCAGCAGCAGCAGCAGCAGCAGCAGCAGCAGCAGCAGCAGCAGCAGCAGCAGCAGCAGCAGCAGCAGCAGCAGCAGCAGCAGCAGCAGCAGCAGCAGCAGCAGCAGCAGCAGCAGCAGCAGCAGCAGCAGCAGCAGCAGCAGCAGCAGCAGCAGCAGCAGCAGCAGCAGCAGCAGCAGCAGCAGCAGCAGCAGCAGCAGCAGCAGCAGCAGCAGCAGCAGCAGCAGCAGCAGCAGCAGCAGCAGCAGCAGCAGCAGCAGCAGCAGCAGCAGCAGCAGCAGCAGCAGCAGCAGCAGCAGCAGCAGCAGCAGCAGCAGCAGCAGCAGCAGCAGCAGCAGCAGCAGCAGCAGCAGCAGCAGCAGCAGCAGCAGCAGCAGCAGCAGCAGCAGCAGCAGCACAGCAGCAGCAGCAGCAGCAGCAGCAGCAGCAGCAGCAGCAGCAGCAGCAGCAGCAGCAGCAGCAGCAGCAGCAGCAGCAGCAGCAGCAGCAGCAGCAGCAGCAGCAGCAGCAGCAGCAGCAGCAGCAGCAGCAGCAGCAGCAGCAGCAGCAGCAGCAGCAGCAGCAGCAGCAGCAGCAGCAGCAGCAGCAGCAGCAGCAGCAGCAGCAGCAGCAGCAGCAGCAGCAGCAGCAGCAGCAGCAGCAGCAGCAGCAGCAGCAGCAGCAGCAGCAGCAGCAGCAGCAGCAGCAGCAGCAGCAGCAGCAGCAGCAGCAGCAGCAGCAGCAGCAGCAGCAGCAGCAGCAGCAGCAGCAGCAGCAGCAGCAGCAGCAGCAGCAGCAGCAGCAGCAGCAGCAGCAGCAGCAGCAGCAGCAGCAGCAGCAGCAGCAGCAGCAGCAGCAGCAGCAGCAGCAGCAGCAGCAGCAGCAGCAGCAGCAGCAGCAGCAGCAGCAGCAGCAGCAGCAGCAGCAGCAGCAGCAGCAGCAGCAGCAGCAGCAGCAGCAGCAGCAGCAGCAGCAGCAGCAGCAGCAGCAGCAGCAGCAGCAGCAGCAGCAGCAGCAGCAGCAGCAGCAGCAGCAGCAGCAGCAGCAGCAGCAGCAGCAGCAGCAGCAGCAGCAGCAGCAGCAGCAGCAGCAGCAGCAGCAGCAGCAGCAGCAGCAGCAGCAGCAGCAGCAGCAGCAGCAGCAGCAGCAGCAGCAGCAGCAGCAGCAGCAGCAGCAGCAGCAGCAGCAGCAGCAGCAGCAGCAGCAGCAGCAGCAGCAGCAGCAGCAGCAGCAGCAGCAGCAGCAGCAGCAGCAGCAGCAGCAGCAGCAGCAGCAGCAGCAGCAGCAGCAGCAGCAGCAGCAGCAGCAGCAGCAGCAGCAGCAGCAGCAGCAGCAGCAGCAGCAGCAGCAGCAGCAGCAGCAGCAGCAGCAGCAGCAGCAGCAGCAGCAGCAGCAGCAGCAGCAGCAGCAGCAGCAGCAGCAGCAGCAGCAGCAGCAGCAGCAGCAGCAGCAGCAGCAGCAGCAGCAGCAGCAGCAGCAGCAGCAGCAGCAGCAGCAGCAGCAGCAGCAGCAGCAGCAGCAGCAGCAGCAGCAGCAGCAGCAGCAGCAGCAGCAGCAGCAGCAGCAGCAGCAGCACAGCAGCAGCAGCAGCAGCAGCAGCAGCAGCAGCAGCAGCAGCAGCAGCAGCAGCAGCAGCAGCAGCAGCAGCAGCAGCAGCAGCATCAGCAGCAGCAGCAGCAGCAGCAGCAGCAGCAGCAGCAGCAGCAGCAGCAGCAGCAGCAGCAGCAGCATCAGCAGCAGCAGCAGCAGCAGCAGCAGCAGCAGCAGCAGCAGCAGCAGCAGCAGCAGCAGCAGCAGCAGCAGCAGCAGCAGCAGCAGCAGCAGCAGCAGCAGCAGCAGCAGCAGCAGCAGCAGCAGCAGCAGCAGCAGCAGCAGCAGCAGCAGCAGCAGCAGCAGCAGCAGCAGCAGCAGCAGCAGCAGCAGCAGCAGCAGCAGCAGCAGCAGCAGCAGCAGCAGCAGCAGCAGCAGCAGCAGCAGCAGCAGCAGCAGCAGCAGCAGCAGCAGCAGCAGCAGCAGCAGCAGCATCAGCAGCAGCAGCAGCAGCAGCAGCAGGGCAGCAACCCCATCATCCGCAGCGTCAGCGCGCCACCTCCCGCTCCTCCCCCTTTCTCCTTCCCCGCATGCACACCCGTTCTCTGGATCCCATCCTTGGGACCCCTCCTCCTCCTTCCCTGCAACTCCTTGAGGACTCTCACGAGGAGTTCCTCACCATCCAGCAGCACACTCCGTTCATAGCCACCCTCTTTCTTGACTTCCTTGGCTTCCCCGTCCTCGGCGCCACCTCCACCCCCACCATCTTTACTCCCTCCACCTTCCAAGAGGCCATCACATGCCCTGACGCGGACAAGTGGATCGCAGCTATCTTCCAGGAGTGCGAGGCGTTTATCCGCAACGACTCCTTCGTCGACGTCCCCCTCCCTGACGATGCCAATCTTGTCGAGGGCAAGTGGGTCTTTCGGGTGAAGCAACTGCCGGACGAGGAACCGGTCTACAAGGCCCGCTACTGCGCCAAGGGCTTTATCCAGACACATGGGGAGGACTTCTGGTTCACTTACGCCCCCACCGCCAAACCCCCCACCCTTCGCGCAACCCTCGACGTTGGTGCGCGTGATAACATGGAGATCGACTGCATGGACGTCTCCAATGCGTTCCTGCAGGGCGACCTGCATGATCGCATCTTCCTCCGCCGGCCACCCGGGTTCCACGCAGCCTTCCCTGAGAACACTGTCTGGCAGCTGCGTCGCCCTGTCTACGGCTTGAAGCAGGCGCCGCGCGAGTGGCATGCAAAGCTGGCTGCCACCTTAGGGTCACTCGGCTTCTCTCCCTCCCACTCCGACGCCAGCCTCTTCATCCGCTCCTCCCCTCGCCGCTTCTTCATCCTGGTGTACGTGGACGACATGGTCTTGCTTTCTGACACGAAGGCCGACATGGAGCAGATGAAGCAGTCCCTGCAGCAGCGTCTCAAGTGCAAAGATCTTGGAGCCCTCACCCACTACCTGGGCATGGCTATCACTCGTGACCGCTCTGCTCGCACCATCACCCTCTCCCAGTCCCACTACAACGGCCAAGTCTTGGAGAAGTTCAACATGACGCAGGCCAAGCCCATCTCCACCCCCCTCCCCTTCGGCCACCAACTCGCCCCACCCACCTCTCCCACCTCCTCCCCTCACCCCTATGCCGAGCTCGTTGGGTCCCTGATGTACACAATGATGTGCACCCGCCCCGACCTCGCCTATCCCATCAGCGTGCTCGCTCGCTTCGTCGGCACCGGCCGCCACAGTGAGGAGCACTGGAAGGCGGCCAAGCGGGTCCTCCGCTACCTTCGAGGGACCAAGGACCTTGCCCTCACCCTTGGCGGTTCTTCCCCTCCTCTCCTCTCGGGCTTCAGCGACTCCTCCTGGGCCGACACGCAGCCGGACCGCCGCTCCTCCCAGGGCTACGGCTTCACCCTTGGCAGCGGCCTCATCAGCTGGCGCTCTACCCGCTCCTCCGCCATCTCTCTCTCCACCTGCGAGGCCGAGCTCTACGCCGGCACCATGGCCGCTCAGGAGTCCCGCTGGCTCTGCTTCCTCCTTGCCGAGCTTGGCGCTCCCCAGACGTGCCCCACTCTCTGGTGCGACAATGCCAGCACCATCCATCTCACTGAGGACCCTGTCTATCATGCCCGCTCCAAGCACATCGAACTTCGCTATTTCTTCATTCGCGAGCTTGTCCAGAAGGGTCTCATTGCCGTTCGCAAAATTGCGACCGAGGCCAACTTGGCCGACATTTTCACCAAGGCCCTCCTTCGCCCTGCGCACTCCGCTTTCCTCCGCCTCATCGGCCTTGCTCGCCCGGGCGCCCCTTGATTCAGGGGTTGTTCCCTCCTTGTGTTAGCATGCTAAGGGGTTGTGTTAGAATTATACATTGTAGCATGCTAAGCACATGTGACTGTACACCAATTGTGGTGTACAGTTGGGTTGGGACTACACCCAACATTGGGTGTAGCCTTGCACTTTGGGGTGCCAATCCACCCAATTGTGGTGGAGCCCCCAAATTGCAACCCTCTTGACTTTTGGGTACCTCACTTCACAATTGAGGCCACCACAAGCCAAGTGGGCCTAGGGTTGCCACACTTCTTAGAAGTGTGGGCAACCCAACCCACCTTTGGTTGCCTCACTTCCCAAAGTGAGGCCAACCCAACCATAGGTTGGGTTCCTCCTTCCCTTCCAAGCTTCTCTTCCCAAACTATGTATGCTAGGTTTGCTCTCTAATGAGATCACTTGTTCAATTCACATCTTTCACAGTATATGTCGGTTGTGGGTGTTGAGCATTGATGTGCCAGGGGGAAAAGGGTATTTGTTAGACTCTGCACTCAAGTTTGAGCTGGCTAAGAGGAGGGTATATTAGGAGGCAGGAAGATCAGGTGAGGGGATTGGGCATGGATGGGGGAAGTCACGCTGACCTTGCATCCAGGCTATTTGAGCCGGCCAACTGGGTATACTTCATTGATGCCCAGACCAACATTGACGTTCATGTTGTACAGCATCGAGTTTTGAGTCAACTCAAAACTCGGCTATTTGAGCCGGCCAAATGGGTATACTTCATTGATGCCAAGACCAGCATGTACGGTCATGTTGTACGGCATCCTGCAATCACGCTCTCCCCAAAATTTGGTGTCGGCTCTTCATCGAAACAACGTTCGTAGTCGTCGAACCACGTTCATACTCTGAACCCACACACAGGAACATGCATACCGTGCCGTCGACACCTACTGGCGGCAGCAGGTAGAGAACAACTAGGGCGGACACTCATGTGCTCTACCTCGTGACTTTTGAGTCGACTCAAAAGTCACCTCCATACCGTGCCGTCGACACCTACTCGCAGCACCAGGTTGTTGTCTACCGCAGGAACAACTAGCACGGACACTCATGTGCTCAACCTCGTGCTGCACCAAAGTATTGTTTCTGCAAAATATTATGGCTGGGTTTTTTAAATATGGAATCACATTCTTTTTCATTAGTCTCCTGGAAAAGACGATGGTTGTGGCTCATGTAGGAGGGGGGTGTGGGGGGATGGGACAGTACGGAGTGGTGCCATACTATCGTGGACAGGAGTTGACTGCAGCGTAAAGCATGCTCATTTGTTCTTTTTTCTGACTCTCTTCCATGCACTCATCCAGGTTGTGAGGTCAGCAGCAGGAGGTAAATCGGCAGCACATCCTGAGAAGCATCCGGCCAAGAAGAAGGTGAATTCTGACAGTCATTGCACTACACTGCACCGCACTGCACTGCATGCAGGTTTTGAGGAGAGCATGAGCCGCAGCAGCAGCAGGCCCACCGACATTGGCAGCTCAGAGTGAGAAGCAATGTCAAGAAAAGAGTGAGCTCCGCCAGTCATTGCACTGCACCGCACTGCACTACGCTGCACTGCACTGCTCCTGCATATTACTGTTCTGGTTCATGACTCCACAATTTTTGTGCCCAGGAACCTTCGTTCTCCATTGGGTGCTTGCTCATGATTCTCGTGCTCCCATTTACTTTCTTCTGCTCAGGCTTCGCGGGGAAAGGAGCAAGAGGAAAGGGCGGGCACAGGCAAGGAAAAGGTCAAAGTGGGCATGAAAACGGGTGGTGATGATGAAGAATGCGTGGGGCTGGAAGTGAGGGAGGAGGGAGGCAGCCGGGGGAGCGGGGAGGAGGGTGGGCTGGAGCTACAGCCGGTGCTGGAGGAGATGCCCAAGTGGAAGGTGCTGCGGGTGAGTGAAAGAAGATATTGGTGTGTCTCATCTGATAGCATTCTCCAGCCTGCTCGTATGACTTGAGGAGGGTGGGCTGGAGCTACAGCCGGTGCTGGAGGAGATGCCCAAGTGGAAGGTGCTGCGGGTGAGTCGGATAAAGTCAAGGTGTGTGTGATATAGTTGTTCAGCCTGTTCATATGGAGGAATTGAGTAGGGTGAGTTTGGAGCTGCAGCCGGTACTGGCGGAGATGCCATGCCCAGGTGGAAGGTGTTGCGGGTGAGTGAGATGATGCAAGGGCGTGAGTGTGATATGTTGAGGGCGGGTTGGCTTTAACCCGCTAGCCTAGATTGCCTGGGGGAGGTGGGCAGGGGAGCTGCAGCCGGTGCCAGGGGAGATGCCCAAGTGGAAGGTGCTGCGGGTGAGTGAGAGTGAGATGGTTTAGGGTGAGTCTGATTATGTGTGTGAGGGTAAGGTGGATAATAGCATTCAGCCTGCCCTTAGGCATCGAATGGGGGTGTGGCGGAGAGGTGCTGTTGGTGCTGGAGGAATTGGTCAAATGGAAGGTGCTGCGTGCGGGTGAGTGAGACAATACACGGTGAGTCTGCTCTGCTGATCGGCTTCAGCTTGCTCTTAGGCATTGAGTGAGTGCAGTGTGGCGAAGAGCTGCTGCCAGTGCTTGAGCAACTGCTGACATGGAAGGTGCTGTGTGCGGTGCGGTGCGGGTGAGTGAGGTGCTGCAACTCGCAAGGGTGGGTGAGCTTGATGAGGAGCCCCTGACCTGACAGTGCCGGTACAAGTAGTCCGTTTTGGGGAGGCCAAGGGTGAGAACAGCGACCGTGGTTGTTGTTAGTACTTTGATTTCAAATATTTTCGTTTGTCACTTGCTGTGCTGTCTGTGGCCTCCTGTCCTTCCAACAAGACTTGTTGGATCAAGTTTACTCCCTTGCATCTTCACCTCCAAATGCTCCCTTTGCATCAGGAACTGCTTGAAGAGATTCAAACGGAGCGCAGCGCACAACAGCAGCAGCAGCAGCAGCAGCAACGGCACCATTACCATCAGCAGCACCACGTGTGCTGGTGGCTTGTAAAGATGAGCGCACTTGCCATCAGCTGCGGGACGTGCTTGCCCTTGGTGCTGCCACGGTAAGCTGATTTCACAGCTCACACAATTCATTTTTAGTATATGTTTGACCCAAACACCTATAAGGCGCCCTTGTGTGAATTGTGTGAATGAATGAATCAGTTTTTGAGGTGCCTGAACCATCCGATCCGCCATGGTGCTAATCGATCTCACGCCTTGTAAGGGCACATGCCATACACCCTCAAATGATTTACCTTCTCGCTTGCCACCTTTTCGCATCCTCTGTTTTTGGCATCCACAGGTGATGCAGCGCGAGTGGCAGCGCTACCTGCTGGCCAAAGCCGACCTCGTGAGGGCACACGGCATACAGCCGCAAACGACGAACCCTTTGACGTTCCACCCTTCCTCGTTTCTCCCCACTCCCACCGCCTCTCCCTTCCCACCTTCACAGGTGATGCAGCGAGAGTGGCAGCACCACCTGCTGGCCAAAGCTGGCCTCTAAGTCCACGTGCCATACAACCTTGATTCCTTCATACTCTCCCTTTCCACCCTTCCCCACCCTTCCCCATCTCTCTCCACTCCTCTGTTCTGTGCCCCTATCCCCAGGTGATGCAGCGGGAGTGGCAGCACTACCTGCTGGCCAAAGCTGACCTCATGAAGGCGAACCTTCCCAAAAGGAGGCATGCGGCTGCTGCTGCTACTGACGCTGCGGCTGTTGCCGCTGGTGCTGGCAATGCTGGCAGTAGTGGTGGCAGCGGGAGTGGTGGTGGTGGCAGTGGTAACGGCGGTGGTGGTAGTGCCAGCAGAAACAGCAGGAGCGGGGGAAATGGCGCCACTAGAGCCGATAGCAGCATGGATCTGTTTCAGAGAGAGCAGCTGCTGCTGCTGGCAGCCGCGAAGCGAGTGAGGAAGGAAATGGAGGAGGAGGAGAGGGAGATGATTGGGAGGGGGGGATTGGAAATGGGGGGGTTGACAGGGGGGTTAGCAGGGGGAGAGGGGATGCAGGGAGGGGCGAAAAGAGGTGGAGGGGCGAGAGGGGGAAGGGGAAATGGAGGAGGGAGGGGTGGTGGTGGTCGGGGGAGGAGTAAGGGGAAGGGGGTTGCAGCAGCAGGGGGTGGGGGAGTGGAGGCGGATGGACGGCATGTGCGACTGGAGTTTGATTTGAGAGTGGTGGAGAGGGAGAATGCGGAGGGAGAGGCACGGAATGGGGGAGGTGATGAGGAGGGGTCGAGAGAGGGGAGGGAGGGGAGGGGAAATAGTAGTGAGGAGGACAACGGTAGTGATGAGGGGATGGAAAGAGAGGGGGATGAGAAGGGAGGGAGGGGGAGAGGGAGGGGGAGTAGGGGGCGAGGGAGAGGAGGGGCGAGAGGGAGGAAAAGAGGTGGGGGGTCTGGAGCAAGGGGGAGGGGCCAGGGAGCAGAGAGGAAGAGGAAACGAGGAGAAGGAGGCTTACAGGATCACGAGCAAGGGAAGGCGGAGGAAGGGGAGGGAGAGCAGGGGGAGAGGGGTAAATTGGCCAGCGATGACAATAGCGATGGTGATAGCGAAAGTGATAGTGATGTTGTGCTTTTAGAGGAAGTTGAGGCAAGAGAGAGGGACGGTGAGGGAAATACGAAGGACTCGGGGAAAATAGATGAGGGGGCGAAAAGGCAAAAATTCCAGCAAACCGACCCCAACACCTCGGCACCCATTCAAACCTCCAGTGCATCGAATCAACCCTCTCAACCTCCATCCACCACCTCTACACTTCCCAATTCCACCACAATCAGTCCACCCCACCCCGCCTCCTCCCTCTCCCTCCCCGCCCGCATCCGCCTCGAGTTTGTCCCGCCATCGGCCAATGGCAGGCTGCCAGGTGTCCACCTGTGCACGCTGGAGGGCGCGTCCCACGTGCTGGAGCGGCTACAGCCAGGCGTGGTGGTTGTGCACGATCCAGACATTGAGGTCGTTCGCCACATCGAAGTTTTTCATGCTGCCCGGGCGAGTGCTCGGGCAGGTGTGGCGGGCAGGGGAGAAAGCGTTGTGGCTGCTTCGGAAGCTGGCCGGGGGGGAGAAGGTGGTTCAGAGAGGGGAGGAGGGGATGGTGCGTGTGGGGAGCATGGGGGAATGAAAGTGGATGTTGAAGGGGGGTCAGTCACGGATGCTGCTGCTGCTGCTCCTGCCGCCACAACCGCCGCCACTGCTGCTGCCACTGCTGCTGTTGCCCCTGCACGGTCACAGCAGCAGCCCCCTCTGAGAGTGCTGTTTCTGTTCCACGAGGGGTCAACGGAGGGCCACAAGTTTGAGGCGAGCGTGCGGAGGGAGAACGGGGCGTTCGAGCAGCTGATCAGACACAAGGCCATTATGACCATCCCTGCGGAGCAGGTGGGTGGGTGCTTTCTTGCAACACAGCAGCCGATCATGCGCACCCCCTTCTGCTCGCCCTTCCCATTCATTCATTCACAACTAACCAGGATGGAAGGTCTACCATGGATGATGCCCACATGAGCCTGCCTCCTCCGCCACTGTCCCACGCACCTGTTGCTGACTTGTTTCTTGTTGTTCGCCTTGCTCCTGCTTATTCTCTATCAGGACGGCAGGTCTGCCATCGACCAAGCCCACATGACCCTGCCACCACCGCCCCTGTCCCACCCCGCTGCTGCGAATGCCATCACGAGGAGAGGCGGAGGGCGGAGAGCAGCAGAGCGACAAGAGATGAGGGTGAGTGAATCTGAGGAGGAGGGTGTGGAAAGGAGGGAGGGGCAGGAAGGGGGGTAGATATGATCTGAGAGGTATGTTAGCATACACTGCCGCTGTCCCTCCTCCCTGCTGGCACGTCTGTGGTACATGGAGGCTTGAAGATACACGTTGCATGCATCCTCCACTATATAGTAGTTGGTAGTTGGCATGAGAGGGAGTTCAAAAGCAAGCGGTGGTGTCTGCTTTCGTCCCGATTTTCATCTCACCTTCACCTTGTATGCATGCGTGTATCCCCCTCCCTTCCCCAAGCAGGTCGTGGTGGATATGAGCGAGTTCAACAGCAGTCTGCCCTGTGTGCTGCACCAGCGGGGGATTCAAATCCTCCCAGACTTATTATAAGTGGGCGACTATATCTAATCTGCTCACCTCTGTGTGGAGCGCAAGAGCGTTTGTCACTCCACACCACCATGTTCACCATGTCACTCCTCTATCCTTGCCCCCCCCGTTCCCAACCCCCCCACCCAATCCCGGATCAGGTGGTGGTGGACATGAGAGAATTCAACAGCAGTCTGCCCTGCGTGCTGCACCAGCGGGGCATCAAGATCCTCCCAGTGACCCTTGAACTGGGCGTCTACATTCTCTCCCCGCACATCTGTGTGGAGCGCAAGAGCGTCTCATTGCATCCTTCTTTCTTCATCCCCATCTTGTATTCGCATCCCTCTCCAACAGGTGGTGGTGGACATGAGGGAGTTCAACAGCAGTCTGCCCTGTGTGCTGCACCACCGGGGCATCAAGATCCTCCCAGTCACTCTCGAAGTCGGGGACTACATTCTCTCGCCGCACATCTGTGTGGAGCGCAAGAGCGTCTCACTTGGTCCTTCTTTCCATGCCGTTTGCACTTGCGTCCCTCCCCAAGCAGGTGGTGGTGGACATGAGGGAGTTCAATAGCAGTCTGCCCTGCGTGCTGCACCAACGGGGGATTAAAATTCTCCCAGTCACTCTAGAGGTCGGCGACTACATTCTCTCGCCGGACATCTGTGTGGAGCGAAAGAGCGTCAGCGACCTCTTTGCTTCCTTTGCTTCGGGGCGCCTGCACCACCAGGCTGAGACCATGTGCCGCTACTACAGGCTGCCGGTGTTGCTCATAGAATTCTCCAGCGACAAAAGCTTCTCCCTACAGGTACTAGGGTTTCGGCAGAAGGTCACTGTGGTTTTTGAGGCGCCTCAAAAGCTTCTCCCCACAGGTAATAGGGGTTCCTCAGAGGGCCACTGTGGTTTAGAAGAATGAGTGAGCGAGCGGCTCTTTGCCTCATTCATCACGTTCCCATCACTCTTCACTATTCTTTGGGCGCCTCAGCTTTCTTCCTTTTGATTTTCTACAACCTCTCCACCTCCCGATTCCCGCACCCCCAGTCAGCGAGTGACATCAGCGATGACATCACCCCATCCAGCATCATATCCAAGATGTCGCTGCTCGCGCTGCACTTCCCGCGCCTCCGCATCGTGTGGTCCAGATCGCTCCACGCGACTGCTGAGATCTTCGCATCGCTGAAGACCAATCAGGATGAGCCAAGTGTCGACCAGGCTATGAGGGTCGGCGTTCCCACAGAGGATGGGCTGGTGGAGGGCGACACGAGGTAGGGTGACACGAGGCAGGGTGACACAAGGTAGGGGTTGACACGAGGTAGGGGCAGAGTGAAATGAGGTAGGTGACATTCAAGGTCTGCTTGTATTGTATCGCTCCAACAATTTCACTAAGTTGGTAATATAAGCCAGGGTAGGTACTGGTGGTCCGAGGTAGAGGCTAGGTGATCGTGCAGCTGGGAGAGGGGATGGTATGAGGCTGATTGGGTTTAAATTCAATGCAGAAGAGGATGGTGGGGAGATGTAAAGGACCGAGGTAAACAATATTGACAATGAGTGGGGCTGCATGGGGAAGTGGTTATGAGTTGAGAACAGCATGCTGTATGGGAGGGTTGGCTCTTGAGAGTTCTCAAAAGCAGTATTGATAGATAAGGTGGGGCTGTAGGAGGAAACGAGATGTGAGTTGAGAACAGGTGGCATGGAGCATGAGGGGATAGCATAGGAACATGGGAACACCACGGTTACATGGTATCCTTCCAAGTTTCTCACTCTCATTTGCTGTCACTAGTTGTGCGATGCTCACATACCTCTTATTTTCCACCCTGTGCTGCCCTTTCTGGTCATTATCCCACCAACCAGAGACGAACATTTCAACACGGCAGCGGTGGAGTTTCTTCGGCGCCTCCCCGGAGTCTCTGACGCGAATTACCGCTCATTGGTCGACAATTGCGGCAGCCTGGCTGAGCTGGCGCTGATGCGTGTTGATGAGCTGGCACCAATCATGGGCGGCATGCGCCCGGCTCAGATGTCAAGAGACTTCCTTGACGCCAAGTGCCCGACGCTCAAATAGTTGAATGGAGATGGAGACGGCCAGTGTTTCAATACAGCTGAATAAGCTAGCGTGGGGTAGGGTGGTTAAGTATGTACATAACATAATTACATTGCGCATAGGCGGCATTGCGTTACGGTTTATTTCAAATTCATGTGAACTGAAGTATTGGTTTATGTTTTTTTTTTTTTTCTTACCTCCTAGCTGATGACTTTCCAGATGTCACATATCTCTCAGATTTGCTGGGAGGATGACCAATAATCGTGTTCACATTTTGACGCATGTCATTACAAGCAATTACATAAAAGTGAAGCCTTTTATTCTGTGTGAAAGGCTTTCCTGAGGAACGCGTTTTCTTAACGCGTACAAACGATTTGTTTACGAACTTCAAACCTCCAGCCAGTCATTGCCAATCTCCGCAATTCCGCTTCTGATGCCACTCGTGTCGTTACGAACTGCTCCGCCATACCCGCTGGTGGTGTCAGTTCCCTCGCCTGTACGCGTCTGATGCGGACCAGCTTTCACAAACGCACTGACCGGCCTCGTATCCCATAGTTGTTTTTCGGTCCGACATCTCCACCCGCTTTAACTCAACACGTTTCATGACGACACTTTCCACTTTACCACAACATACCCCTTGCAAGGCTGCAGCACTAGCCAGGACGAGTAGAGTGAGCCACGCGTGGGAAGGGGGACGCGATTCGCGTGCAATATGTTTGTTTATCGAGGGGGGTCGATGCGCGTCTGCGCTACCAAACCGTCTAGAAGAATCCAGGCTCAAGACGGCGGCGGGAACATTCAGAAAATTCAGAAGCGACTTTGTTCAGCGTGGCAGCTGTACGGTTAGTAAAGTGAGTATTTGCCACTCTTTCAGCAGCAGCAGCGGCAGCAGGAGGCGTAGCAGTGGCAGCAGCAGCGGCAGCAGGAGGCGTAGCAGTGGCAGCAGCAGCGGCGGCGTTGGAAGGAAAAGGACCCGGATGCCGCCGTTTAAGCATGTCGTGGGACCGTCAGATGCGGTGAAGGCGGGGCTTAAATCTCCCCCGTCTTCGTTCACCTACCTGAGTCCCTCCGAGGCGGAATGGCGGCTGATGCTGACGGAGATCGGCGTAAAGCCACGTAAGATTTCCCGCATTCTGTCTCAGTACCACGCAATGCCTGCTGACGTGGCAATGGAAAGACTGGTATTTCTCCAGAGTTTGGGGGTAGATATTGGAAAGGCCCTTTCCTCCTTTCCCAAACTCTTATTCTACCCACCTTCAACTGCCCGAGCCATGGCCGATTACCTCACCTCCGTTGGCGTCCAACCGGGCTTGATTGGGAAAGTTTTGTCTGCCTGCCCGCAGCTCCTCGGGCTAAGCATTGAAGACAATATCTGCCCAACGATTTCCCACCTGGTGGAAGAATGGGGACTCGACCAATCACGCGACATCCCTGTGGTGATCTCACGCCACCCACGCTGCCTAACCTACTCCATCTCTGAAAACCTTCAACCAACCCTAACCTTCTGGATTGGTTCGGGAATTGACAAGCCTGCAAAACTCATCCGAGCCAACCCATCGATCCTTGGACTTTCCACTACCAAACGGATTCTTCCCACGATCGCTGCATTTGACAGTTATGGCATCCCACCGCACCTCACCATTGATATGGTTCAGAAATTTCCTCATCTCTTCAATTACAGCTGGAATACTAACTTAATGCCAAAGCTACAGTATCTGGAAGAAGTGGGGAGGGGTATTGACGAGGCGGTTCAGCACCCACAGTACTTCGGGTACAGTTTAACTCGGCGGATTCGGCCAAGGCTCGGCGGTGTGGCTCGGGCCGGACTGCATGTGAGCCTGAGCTTTGTGTTGCGGCTGAAGGACGCGGAGTTTGAGAGGCTTTATGGTGACGTGTGTAGGGTGGAAGGAGAGGGAGGAGATGAAAGAGATGCACACGAGCAAGGTTGATGCATGTGAGAATCAAAGCTAGCATTTTGACGGAGTGAAGAAATAGACAAGGCATTGCTGAGTGAGTCAACTTGTATTGTCCTCATCAGCCTGCCGTTCCTGTTCTTTTTTTTTTCGCAATCCTGTTTTATCTCATGCCTTTCGCCTTCCCCACACCCTTGTCCCTCCCTCCACCTCTCTCCGTCACTCACCGACCCTGCTCCCTGTGACCATGCATCTGTTTCCTTCCACATGTTCTGTCACATTCTTTGTACATATTTCAACTTCACATCACATCATTTCACCTTTCTCCCTCCATGTACCGTTTCAGGTTTTGACTCCCAACAAATTGTTGGAACCTTGCTGCAAATTCACAACTCATATGTGCAGTCAAATTTCCATGCTTTTGAGAAGGCCTGCTTCCCTTTTGATGCTGGATTTTTGTTTAATTGCAGTTGCACTGTTTAAAAATGGAGTTAGTACAACCCACCATGATGCACTGTTACATACCTTCTCCCAGTATCCTCGTTATGAATGTCGCCTAGAAATACAAGGGAAAATTCAGCGCCAGTGATCTTGTCGTTCCTTCCAGGCCATAAAATTCGGTTCGGGTGGTTCCCAACCACGCAAGCCCTGGTTTGAAATGCGAACCCATTCATCAAACGAGGCTGACCGTGGAACAAGCAAGATCGAACCAACCCAAACCAATCAAGCTCCGTGTTTGCTTCGGTTCGGAGAGGGACTCTCCAGTTCTGTGGTTGCGTTCGGACAGGCGGAGTGTGTCGAAACTGGCGCCATCACCACAGTTGACACGAGCGAGAATCAACAGTCAGCGACAAAACGTGCGAGGGGCACCATCCCTTCCCTAGTCGTCCCGGTGTAAATCCGATCCGAACCCGTGCGATCGGTTGGATTCTGGGGGTTACAACTCTCGGTTCAGATGGAAACCTTGAGAAAGTCCGAGCAACACGTGCTGCTGTAAAACACGCTCGGAATTGATCCGAGGTCCATCTTGTCGCCATCTTTTCACCAACTGTCGCCATCTTGTCTGATTCCGCCAAAGCCAACGATGTCATTTTTCGCCGTGTCTTTGTCCGGTTCTCGCCAGCGCCAAGCTTGCTACTGTAGCTTTTCGCCACGGCCAAGCTTGTCTGCTTCTCATCAGGACCAAGCCTGCCTGACCGCCTTTTCCCAGCCCAATCATACGTTCCGCTCCGCTTCTCTCCGCTCCCCCAACCAGTTCCCCTCTCCCCCCACCCACCCTCTCCCCGCTCCCCTTTTCCCGCTCCACTCTCCCCTTCTCCCCCTGAATGCTATCGTTGTGGTGCCCTTCTGCTGCTCCCACTTCTCTGCCCTCTCTCCCCTTCCCGTACAGTACAAGTTGCAACGCCATTTGTTTGCTTGAGGTCGTATCCCAGCCTCCGGTCAAGAAGTTGAGGTCTTGACACCAACTCATTCTAGGAATGCGATTGGTCCAAAAACTTGCGACCAATCGCATTCGCCTAGCTTTTTTTTAACCAATCGCGTGCCTACAATGAGTTGGTGTCATGACCTCAACTTCTTGACCGGAGGCTGGGATACGACCTGAGAGATTTTCGCGGGATCTCCCTACCGCGAGCTTTGGGTTGTGTTGTGAGTTGGAAGCAGTTGTGTTATTTGGCAAACCCACTCACAGACCGCCTACTCATGCCAAGCTGTTTCGCGATGCTGATTAAGCGCTGAACGAGACACGCTGAATCAGTGGACAGACAGGCTGCGCGCGCTGCGAAGGAATTCCAAGAGAAGCCGTTTTTAACGAAGTAGTTACAGGAACTTCTGGCGCACTGACTAAAACATTTCTTGCAAACGATTAGGTGTACACGTGTAGCTGGAGGTCGATGAGCGTGAGTAACGGCGTGTTCTTTAGGAGGCATATGTGGGAGGAATCGGCGGGTGTGGAGAGAGAGGCGGTCGCGGAGGATCAAGAGGGTAGAAGCAGCGGAGGAGGAAACATGGCGAATGACTTGAGCGGGGGAGATTTGGACAGTGATTTCGACTTTGAAAGCGAGGACGCGGAGGAGGTGGGGGGGGAGGATGGGAACGGTGGAAGTGAGAGTAACATTAACAGTGACGATAAGATTGGTCATTATACGAATGGCCATAATACGGACGATCAAGGTGTCGGTGACGATCATTTAAACGGCGGCGCGATTGGTGGAGCTAGCAGGAAGCGGGGAAGGAGTCCGAGTGAGCCTGATTTCGCGGAGGGAGGGGATTATATGTTGTCGAGAGTTTCTGGTTTTGCGAGGCATGAGAGGGATAGCGGAGCGGGTGATAATGAGAGAGCAGAGGAGGCGGAGGAGGAGGAGGTGGAAGACGACGGATTCAGCGAGGATTTAGAGGACGATAACGGGAACGGTTTAGCGGATAGAAACTGTACGTTAGTTGACGGAAACGATGACGCCTTTTTTCGCGGAGCCGTTTTGGAGGGTGATGACGAGGTCGGAGAGTTTGAAACAGCAGTCAATCCTTCATCCTCATTATACGCGGCTTCGTTATACGCGTCCTCGTTGTCCGCGCATCCATTGGCTCAAGCACCCATGAACGCGAGCGCACTATCTGCGGCAGCTAACGGGTTAGGGTTCAGTATCTCAACGAATCCGTTGTTAGGTCTTAGAAGGTTCCTTGAAATTGCGGGTGCGAGAGACGCCGAGGGCCAGGGAGCAGCTGATACGTGTAGCGGAGGCGAAGCTGACGTGGCCGTTGAAGGCGGAGCTGACGTGGATCGAGCTGGAGAAGCCGCAGCGCACGCACCGAAGGCTGACGTGGCAGCAGCGGAGAGCACGACGGAGGGGCTACTCCCCGACGAGGTCATTATCGAGATCATCGCGCGGGTCTCGGACGCGCGCGCGCGCAACTGCTGCGCGCTCGTCTCGCGCCGATGGCGCATGAGCGAGCGCCTCACGCGCACCTCCCTCTCCGTCCGCCGCTCGCTCGCGGACCTCCTGGAGCTTCCGCGATGCTTCCCCAATGTGCGCCGACTCGATCTGTCCCTATGCCCCCCTGCGGGCAGCCGCTGCTCCTCGCGGGGCCCGCGCTGGAGGTAGCTACGACGCTCCGCGCGGCCTTTCCGCGGGTGACCTCCCTCCGCGTGCACGTGCGGGACCGGAACGACGTCCAGTGCGTGGCGGCCACGTGGCCGGGGCTGGAGCACGTGGCTTTGATCCGCTGGCACGAGTTTTCTGCAGCGGAAGCAGCAGCGGCCGCAGGCGGCGCAGCAGCAGCAGGAGGGCAAGGAGCAAACAACACCACCGAAATCCCTAATCTGAATGCGAACCCGCTGGGAACCCTAGAGCTGACCCCACTACTAGTGATGTGCAGCCGAGTACAGAGCATAGACCTGTCCGAATTCACGTGCTTCCCTGACCACGTTACTGATGCCTTCACTGCTGCTCCCCAAGCCGCCGCTGCCATCGCTGCTGCTGCCGCTGCCGCCACCGCTGCCGCCGCTGCTGCTGCGTCTGCCACTGGAGCAGGAGGAGCAGGAGCAGCAGCAGCGGAACCCTCCTCCAAGCCCCCCCGCGCGCCTCTCCCCCGCCCCTCCGCGCCCATCTCCGCCCTCCGCCACCTCAACCTCCTCAAGTCCTCCCCAGGCGCCTTTAAAGCGTCGGACATCCGCACTATTCTCTCTGCCGCCGGCCGAACCCTCCTCTCCTTCCGCTGCCTCGTCGAATTCGACCCGCGCCTCTCCGATTCCCTCTCCGACGAAACCCTAATTGAGATCGCCGAGCGCTGCCCGGTGCTCACGGCGCTGCAATTGGTGGATTCCTCGCTCTGGGCGGCGCCCTCGGGATTGTCGCTGGCGCTGGGGGACCATGATGACGCGCTCCCGCCCGATATGGACGCGCGGGTCACGCCGGGCGGCATTCGCTCGTTCCTAGCGCGGTTGCCGGGGTTGGAGGAGCTGGATTTGCGGCCGGCGCAGTATCTGAGAGGGGCAGATGTGAGTCTGTTTGGCGGCGCTGCTGCTGCTTTTGCTGGTGGTACCTCTGGTGGTGGTGGTGGCGGTATTGGTGGTGGGGGGAGGGGTGAGGTGACAGCAACGGTGAGTCTGGGGCAGCTGAGTCCAAACCTGAAGCGGCTGCGGCTGGGCCAGCTGGTTTTCGCCCACGATGATTCCCTGGCGCCAGTGCCTGCATCTAGGGAAGGTACATCTGGACAGGGATCATCCGGAAAAGCACCCTTCTCCTCAGCTGCATCATCCTCGTCAGCAGCACAAGCAGCCCCCACCAGCGTTTCCCCTCCCTCCACCATCCTCCCTCGTGACCTGGAAGCTCTAGACTTTTGGCAAGCCCCCTCGCTGCCCCTGCGCTGCCTGCTCCCCCTCGCACTCTCCTGCCCGCGCCTCAAGGAGCTCAGCATCTGGGGCTGCCCGGACCTGTCCCCGCCGAGCCTGGAGGCCGTGGCTCGGGTGTGCCGGCACTCGCTGGTCCGGGTGACTGTAGTGAAGTGCTGCAACCTGCCGACGGCAGCGGTGCTGAAGGCGCTTTCTCCCGTTAGAAGCACACTGCAGCACCTGCACTGCTCCTGCGACTGGCTCTGCCCAAACAGCAGCGTGCCACCCGTTTCCCCGGTTCAAAGCGGTGCAGATGGTAATGGTGACGGTGCTGGTGATACTGCTGGTGGTGCTGCTGGTGAAGTTGCAGGGGAAGGCGGCGGCATGTTGAAGCAGGTAGGGGGGAGGCGGCGAGTGGAAGGCAGGGCAGGGACTGATGGTACAGAAGAGCTGCTGTGCGGCTCAGAAGCAGCGGAAAACCCTTCCACCGCGCCAGACTCCTCCGAATGGCCTGCTCTGCAGTCCCTCACTCTCCTCGCTCCCCTGGGCACCCTCCTCTCTCAGCTCCCCTCCGCCGGCCTCCTCCACTGCCCCCTCCTCTCGCACGTCCACATCCGAGTGCACGGTGACTGTCGTCTCGCAGCGGGTCCCGGGGCGACAGGGTTCGGCCTTTCCTGTCTGGCCGGCTACCCGGCGCTTCGCTTTCTTCGTCTCGATTTGACGCAAGTGGTGGGGCATTCGCTAAGCTGCCCGCCTGGGCTAGCATTTGATGTGATGGCCTGGGAGAGGTTCTACCTGCATGGCATTCAGCTGCTGCCGGGGCTCGAATCGCTGCATTATTGGCCGCCGTCGGACTGCGATCTCAACCGTCGATCCATGTCGATGCCGTCGGCTGGGATCCTCGCGTCGTGCCAGTCGCTGCGCCACCTGGCCGTGCATTGCACGACAGCCAATGAGCATCTGCTCAACGTGGTGGTGCGCGGGGCTAGAGGGATGCGCGATTTGCATGTGTTGGGGGATTGCTATCCCGCTCCCCCGGATGATACCTATGCTGGCATGCTCAGGCCAGCATCGTTCCAGAGGCTGATAAAAAGCCTGGACGCAAGAGGGTACCCTGACTGATTGATCTGCACGTGCTGGGGTATTGCTATCCCGCTCCGCCTGATGACACGTATGCTGGCATGCTCAAGCCGGCTTCGTTCCAAAGGCTGATTAGGGTGTTGGATGAGAGAGGTTATCCTGATTGATTGATTGACTGATTGCTATGCACGCAAAGGTTTGCACATGCTGCTGAGGGACTGCTATGCCACTCCTTCGGATGATGCGTATGCTGGCATGCTCAGGCAGGCTGGCTTCTTCCAGAGGCTGATTAAAGGCCTCAGCGCATAGGGTGTCCTGGTTGATTCATTGTTTGTTGATTGATTGATTGGAAGCGGGCTTGTGATAGGGCACTGCAGTTGGTGCCCGTGCAAGTGCCTACTTTTGTTGTTTTGCTGTGATTTTGTAGGTAATCTTGCCATCTTACACCAATAAACAAATGTGATGGGTAGGGTGCGTGGGTGTACGACAGCTGGATTGATTGCACTGCGGGTCCAAAACACAGAATACAAGAATGGTGTGAGGCATCACAACACTCATCACTGTATGTATAGACCACAGCATCTGGGCTCAAGTGTCAGTGAAGGCGAATCCATAAGCCCCTTGGTGCCCCTGCACCAGTCCCTGTAGTTGGTGAGCATGTGATCGTCCATCTTGAGCCGTGTGTGTGTCAACACCAGTTGCCAGGAGCAACAGCAGCAGCAGCAGCCAACCCTCACATCTCAGTGAAAGCCAACCCGGACCCGTCAGTACGCCTGAGCCAGTCCCTGCACTCCATCAAGCATGTCGCCGTCCGTCTTGAGGCGTGTGACAATGCAAGTACGCCAGCAGCAGGCAGCCAATCAACCCTCTAGCCAATCAACCCTCACGTGTCAGTGAACGCAAGGCCAAGCCCGTCTGTGCGATTGAGCCAGTCCCAGTACTTATTGAGCATGTGACCGTCCGTTGTGTCGATGCAAGTAGGCCAGCAGCAGGCAGCCAATCAACCCTCTAGACAATCAACCCTCATGTGTCAGTGAACGCCAACCCAAGTCCGTCGGTGCGTTTGAGCCAGTCCCAGTACTTGTTCATGTGACTGTTGGTCTTGAGGCATGTGACAACGCAAGCAAGCCAGCAGCAGCGGCAACCAATCAACCCTCACGTGTCCGTGAAAGCAAGGCCAAGACCATCAGTGCGTCTAAGCCAGTCCCAGTGCTTGTTCAGCATGTGACTGTCCGACTTGCAGCGTGCGTCGATGCAAGAATGCCAGCAGAAGGCACCCAATCAACCCTCATGTGTCGGTGAAAGCAAGGCCACGCCCATCAGTGCGTTTGAGCCAGTCCCAGTACTTATTGAGCATGTGACCGTCAGGCCTCACCTCCCTCTCTCAAGTCCCCGTGAAAGCCAGCCCGAGCCCGTCGGTGCGATTGAGCCAGTCCCAGTACTTGTTCAGCATGTGATCGCCCGTCTTAAGGCGTGTGTCGATGCAGGTATGCCAGCAGCAGGCAGGCAACCAACCCTCTAGCCAATCAGCCCTCACGTGTCAGTGAAAGCCAACCCAAGTCCCTCGGTCCGATTGAGCCAGTCCCAGTACTTGTTCAACATGTGATTGCCCGCCCTCACCTCCCTCTCAACACCAGGACTCAAGTCTCTGTGAAGGCCAACCCAAGTCCGTCCGTGCGATTGAGCCAGTCCCAGTACTTGTTCAACATGTGGTCGTTGGGTCTCACCTCCCTCCACCTGCCCTCACAGAATATCGCATGCGCATCCGCTGCGTACCTGCCGTGGCAGGAGGAAGAATGCACAGCACGCAGAGCAGGCAGGCAGCAGAGAGTGAAAGGGAGTGGGGTGGAGCAGAGGGGAAGGAATGTGAAGCACAGTCAAGCACCTGAAGAAACGGGAAATGATCAGGAAGGAGAGGAGAGCCCAAACAGAGCAGAAGCGCCTTCGATAATCCAACATCTCATGTTCACTCGAACCACTACTTAACCCTTTCCCCGCTCCCGCATGCACTCACTTTTCCAGACTCCACCATACCAAACACCTGCACTTTCCGAAGCCTGGCTACTGTCGAATGATCTCACCTCACCTGCCATTTCCCAAGGCCATGCTGTTGCATCACATCCGTCCAATCTCTCTGGAGAGTCTCGTTGAGCACTGCTTCATCATGTCACCTACGTTTTTCGTGCAGCAGCACTGTGCCAGTTTCAACTCCTCTTCCTTTCCTCCCCCATCCCCTCCCACTAATCTTCCCCCCTCCCCCTCCCAACCCAGACCCCTTCTTCACCCCCAACCCACCCACCCTTCTTCCCCCACCCCCACGCGCTCACTTCCCAATGCCATGCAGGTGACTCACGTCCGTCCAGCTGCCCCTCGGGATTTCCTTCTTCCCCCCCCCTTCCTTCCCCTTCCTCCCCCCAACTTCCCCCACCTTCCCCCACTCCCCCCCAAGCACTCACTTGCCAATGCCGTGCAGCTGCCGCACGTCCGTCCAATCGCCCCGCAGGAACTCCTCTGAGAACCGTTGGATCATGGCGACAGCATCCCCCCCTCCCCCTCCCCTCCCCCCCCCCCCCCCCCCCCCCCCCAAAAGCACTCACTTCCCAATGCCGTGCAGTTGCCTCACGTCCGTCCAATCGCCCCTCGGGAACTCCGCTGAGAACCGTTGGATCATGGCGGCGCGCTTGTTGTGCAGCCCCAGAGATTGGATGGTGCGCGCGATCTCAGCCGTCGGTGCTGCTATGGCTGCCTCTGGGGAGGGGATGAGGCGGAATAGGTCCCAGATGACTTTGTGGAGCTGCAGTGGGTGGGGGTTGGGGGTTGGGGGTGGGGAGGGGGAGGAGGGGAATACGATTTCCGAATGCAAGAGAGACGTAGGTGCTGCTGTGGCTGCCTCTGGAAAGGAGATGAGGCGGAATAGGTCCCAGATGACTTTATGGAGCTGCAGTAGGGAAGGGAGGTGGAGAGGGGAAGGACAGGAGGACAAGACGAGGGGATGGGGCGGGATAGGTCCCAGATCACTGGGTGGAGCTGCAATACGGGCACAGGTGGCGGGGGGGGACGGGAGGGGAGGGGAGGGGAGGGGAGGGGAGGGGAGGGGAGGGGAGGGGGTGGGTGAAGGGGACATCAACTGTTAGTCCAGGAGAGACAAGTGCAATCAGAGGTGTGGGTGAAGCGATGGTTGGGCTAGTGCGAGGGCATCAGGTGAAATAGGTCTCAGATCACTCGGTGGAGCTGCAGTGGGGGTGAGGAAGGGGGGGGAAGGGGGGCGAGGAAGGAGAGGGGGGAAGGGAGAGAGCGTAGTTCTAGGGTTCAAAATACACCAAGTCATTGCCAAATTCACTAGGGCCAATTTCGCCTCCCTGGGCAAACATATCTGGTTTACCCAATGCACGTGGATTGCTTAGAAAACATTCATTTTCAAGAGGGTACGTTTAGACTTCTCAGACAAGTTAGCGGGGAACAAAAAGTGGGTTGCAAAAAAACTTTGATCGATGTGCTGCGGTACCAGTGCGGAAGTTTTTTTACATCTCGACATCAGTGCGGTATCATGACTGAGTCGTCCATAGCCTTCAGATTCTGGGTGTTCATTGGTCAATCCAAAATCGGGTTCGGGGTGCTTCCCGAAAAAAGTTGCACGGCGCGGACGAGGTGTAACTAGTGTAAGGGGATGAATCATATTTGGTCTATGATTACAGTGATGGCCTGTATAGGCTAAGGAATGAAGCGAGAGAGAGCCCTAATCCAAATGGCTAGGCGGGGGTGCAGCAAGAGGAAGGGGGTTCGCAACGGGGCGCGCAACAGAGCACACGGGGCGAGGATCAAAACTACACAGCGCAGCTGGGGAGCAGGAGGAGCAGGAAGCAGGAGGCGGGTAGGGTAGAGGAAGAATTAGGGTAGGAAAGTGGTGGTAGGGGAATTGCAGAGGAGAGGGGGCGAAGGGAATGAGGCTTGGCTGCCAGAGATTTGCACCAGAATGTGGAGCTGTAGAACCTGACTTGCCGGAGCGCAAGACATTGCAAAAAAACGATATCGCCGATGCCGGGGATCGAACCCGGGTCTCTCGCGTGACAGGCGAGGATACTCACCACTATACTACATCGACTTTGTTTCACTGAGTCATGGCCGCCATCCGACCTAAATCTGAAGGCTCTCACTGCCAGATGTACTGTAGAGGAGCATCTGTGCACTCACCTGCCTGCCTGCTGTCTTGTTGAGCAGCATACATGCAACCAGCAGTCTCCACGGGTCACGATACAGGCGCTCCTGAGTGGGGGAGGAGTGGAGAGTGGAGGGGTGTGGGGCGGAGAAGGGAGGGAGACGAGAGGGGGTAGGGTGGAGATCGAGTGATAGGAACGGTGTGGGTGACACCTCAGCAAACAGTGAACTACCACAGAGCGCTGCACTCAACAGCAGCCCACCTGGATGAGGCCGAAGGGAGACACCGGCGGAACCCAAGCACCACTTGGCACCGCTGCACCATCAGACCCCACCACTCGGCCTGCTTGCACTGCTTCCGCTGCACCCTCCTGCCCTTGCGAAGCCACATCGCCCTCTTCACGCCTGAGCCCTGCATCAGCTGTGCCGCCCCCCTCTGCTCTGCACCTTCCGCTCTCCCTACTCCCACTGCTTCTCCTCTTTCTGCCACGGCTGACTAAACCCCCACCTACCCTCCTTGTCTTCTCTCCTTTCATCCCTCCATTCCCTCCCAGCTGCCACTGCCCCTCCTCTGCACTGCCTTCATCACCATAACCTCTCCCCTCACTCTCCCCTTCCACCCGGCCGTTGCTGTCCCTCTCTCGCATCCCCTCTGCTTCTGCACGTCCGTCGCACTCTTCCTCTTCGCACTCCTCCTCGTCACCACCCACAAGCACGGATGAAGTTGATGACGTGGCACACCACCCTGCTGACTCACCCGCCTCCCCTCCTCCCTCTCCGCCTCTCAGAGCAGCAGCAGCAACCCCGTTCTCCCTCCCCTCCTCTCTCCTCTCTTCGCCCCTGTCCTTCGTCCCCTCTTCCCTCTCCTCCCTTTCCTCCCTCTCCTCCTCCCTCTCCTGCTTCTCCTCCCTTTTTCGCTCCAAACCCACTCCTGGCATTGTGCATCGACCAATCACAGGCTCCCCTCCCCTCCTCTCCATCCCCCCCACACACTCCATGCCCTTCACCCCCTCGTTGACTCTCAACCTGTCTCCGTGGCTCAATCCCCTTCTGCCACGTGGCAGAGACACAACAGGCAGTGCCAGCACAATAGGTGCGCCCTCACGCCCTCTACTCCATCCCACAGCCCAGTCACCCTCCCCATCTGCTCCTCCTCGCTCTGCTCCCCCATCCCCCTCCGCTCTTCCTTCCCCATGCACTCCCCCTCCCCCTTCGCCTCTCATCCTCTTCTCCCTTCCTCCTTCCCTCCCCTCTTCGATCCCCCCTCTCTCCCCCACTACAGCCTTCCCCTCTCCGCCACCCGCCCCTTCCTCTCCCCCCTCCGCCACACAACCCCTCGTCTTCTCCTCACCCTTCTCCCTTTCGCTCTTCCCCACTTCTCCCCTCCCCCACTCCCAATCCCATGACCCAAGTTACCTCCGCCTCCTCTTTCCACGCTCCCCTTAACACCGCCTGCTACACAGGAGGTGCTGTTTCCGCGCAGGTTCTTAAAGCCGCCAAGAAGAGATCTTTTTGGGCTGCCCGTTGCGGAATCGGGTAGGTTGCTAGTGGCTGGCTTCTTCGGGCTGCCCGTTGCTACTCCCGTTGTCGTTTTTTCCGGGCTGCCCGTGAACCGCCATTGGTCAAAACTATCTGATGATATTCCAGGGGACGCCGGTGCGTAGGGCACGTGGACATTAGGGGAGAGGGGGAGATAGCCGCGCGGAACATAAGGGGAGGGGGAAACTTGAGGAGAGGAGAAAGCTTGCGGGGAGGGGGAGGCAGGTCCAGCGCGCGGAGGAACGGCGGGCTCCGCGCGCTCCGCGCACGACGAATGGTGGGAGCAAGTTGGAGGGGGGGACGGCGGAGAACGAGGGGGTAACGGCGCGGAGTTCTGCGGAAGGAGAGCGGGGAAGGCCTCCGGTTGGAACGGCGACAGCGCGGGCGCTAGATGATCGTCGCTCGGCGACACGGCGATGTCGCCTTGAGAGGCGTCGTCGTGCGACGGGAGGTCGTCGCCAGGCAGAGCCTGCGACGAACAACCGACAGGTTTTTCGTCGTCGGGGAGCGATAGGATGACGTCAGGAGGTGAGGAGACGACGTCCGACGGGGTCGAGATGACGTCAGCAGGGTCGTCACGGGAAAGAAATGGGACGGTCGGATCATCGACGTCCATCTGGTGCTCTTTCAGCCGCGGCGCGATTGGTGGCGCCTCGAGATCTTTACGCAGCTGTGGTACTGTGGCGGCCATGGCCCCCACTGTTTTGAGATAAATTCGAAGAAAAAATTATCGATCAGCCGTGGCTGTGAAATCGACAGGCGGGAACGAGCTGTCACTCTGAAGCCTCCCTATCTGCCGCTTATGTTGTACTCCGCCTCTCTTTTTGTTGTGCTGTGCATGGGACGGGGAATTTTCATTTTGCGCGGTTGTGTGGGTGCGATATTCAGCCAAGGGGAGGATGTGGCGGAGGGGCGGGAGCTGGGAAGGGGGAAGAAGGGTAGCTGGCGGGGCGAACGTGGGGTTGAGCGGAAGGGGAAAGTGCTGTGCGCGCACGACCCCAAGCACCTACGATTTCGGGTCGTGCGCGGAATTGCGGAAGCGCGAGGCGTTGGGCGTTTCGCAGCGCGCGGGACCTTTCTGACGCCCTTTTTGGCGAGAGCGTGATGGTGACGAGGGTTTCGCCTGTGCGATGAATTTCGCGATGCCTCGTCAACACGTTACCTGTTACTCAACTTCCTGGTACAGTACACCTCAATCCGAGTCAAGTTCTTACACGTTACAGTTTGGCCTAATCAATTCTATGTAAGTGCAATCTACCCCGCTGTAGTCACGTAAAAGCCACTGGCGAGGCAGAGAATGCAGCCCAAGGGAGAGTCGCAAGCAATTCAGCAGAGCCACGCTCGTTTCTATCACGGTTGTAAATGTAGCGCGTTTTCGGCGCTCGCTCAACGATGCTCACTAAGCGTCGCCATTACGTCATAGAGACAGACCTGCGACGGAGCTATTCGCAAGTACAGCTTCCATAGTGCCTTGTCGAGCTTCTAAATACCTCTGTCTCTAACTCTTTCACCCGAACCCCCTCTCCGCTTTCCGCCAATGGCGCGGACGGACGGGCAGCTTGCGCTGCTCCACGTGCAGCGCGCCAATCGCCCGCGCATTGCGCCAATCCTCCGCGTTGTCGCTACTGGCGCAGCCCCGCTCCCCGCGGTGGCGCTCGCGGCGCAAGGGCAGCTCGCGAAAGGGCAGGCGGCGCAAGCGCAACTGGCGCAGGGACAGACGCAACCAGTCGCGGGGCGCGGAGGAGCGGTAGCGGCGCCACAGCAAGCTGGGCCTCCGGGGAAGAGCGCTCCCCCTGCCGCCACTTCTGCCGCTCCGCCTGCGTCTGCCGTTCCCCCGCCCGCTGCTGCTGCCCCGCTTGCCGGCGCCGCCGCCCCGCCCTCCGCCTCCCCCGCGGAAGCGGCGCGCGAACAGAAGGCAGTGGCGGAAAAGAGTGCAGGAGGGGAACCCTCAAAGGGCGCAGCGGGCGCGAAGAGCGAGGTTGCGGGGGCGGGGGAAGGGGAGGTGGGGAAGGGGAAGGCGGGGCGGAAGGCGGAAGGTGCGGAGGGGGCAGGCGAGCAGGGTGGTGGTGGTGATGTTGGGTCTCGGGCCCGTGATGGGGCCCGTGGTGACGGTGGGGCAGCGATTGCTGCTTCTGCTACAGCGGCTGCTGCTGCTGCGGCTGGGGTTGCTGGAAGTGGCACAGCCACAAAGACTGGAGACGAGGATAATGGGGAGCTGACAGCTACAGCCGCTGCTACAGCCGCTGCTACAGTTGCCGCCGCTGCTACAGTGCCAGCTACCGTCACCGCTACAGTCGCTGCTACAGTAGCGACTACAGTGACTGCTACAGTGGCGGTAGACGCGGAGCACCCGACGGTGGCCACTGTTGTCCTGGAGCCTGCTCAGCCCGTGCGGTTTGACTCTGCTCCAACCATCCCTCCCCGCCCGGCGCCTGCAGCTGCAGCAATCAGAGGAGGGGAGACGAATGAGGAGGAGAGGGTGGGAGACGGGGCTGCAGAAGAAAACGGAGGAGGAAGAGGGAGGGGAGAAGGAGGAGAGGGAGAGGCGGAAGGTGCAGAGGCAGGTGGTCGGAGGGGGAAGCATGCAGGAGCGGCAGACAGAGGAGAAGGTGATGGGGGGGTGGAGGGAGAGGAGGAGGGAGGGGAGGAGGGAGTGGGGGCCATGGCACTAAGAAGCTGCCGCCCGCAAAGCACTCCAAGTCCTTCAAGCTCTCGTCTTCTTCGAAAAAGCCGACTCTCAAGGTGACCTTTGACTCCTCCCAAAAGCCGTCTTCCCTCAAGAAGCCGTTTTCCTCCAAGTCCAAGCATGCCCCGCTGCCACCCAAACACGCCGCGCCTGCCAAGCATGCCGGCCAGTCAAAGCAATCTGCCGCCCAGAAGCGGGCGGTGGGGGGAAGCAGCCGCTGAGCCCCACTAGGCACTCTGCCCGGCTGGCGCTGATCTCACCCGCCCGGAAAAAAGGGCGGTGGGGTGGGGAAGAGTGGGAGGGCGGTGATGGGGATGAGGGGGAGGAGGGAGATGGGGGGAGGAAGGAGGGGAGCAAAAAAGGGGCAGGGAAGGAGGAGGAAGGTGGAAGGAGGGGGGCGGATGGGGAGAGAGATGAGGAAGGGAAGGGGGACGCTGGGCGGAAGGGGAAAGGCATTGTGAAGCGGAGAGAGGAGAGCGGTGCAGATGGTAAAGCGATGGGTCGCACAGAAAAAGGAGGCAGCAAGGGAGTGAGAGAGGAAGCGAGCAGCAGGGCAGGAGGGAAGGGGGAGAAGGAGAGGTGGGGGGGGAAGGGGTTGCGGGACAGAGGAGGCCAGGGTAGCAAGGAAGGTATAGAGGAGAGCAGAGGGGAGAAGCAAGGGGAGAGAAAAGGGGAGAAGGGAGGAGGGACGCGAAGGGAGGTGGGAGGTGCAGGTGGGGAGGGTGGAGGGCGGTTTTCAAGGAAGAGGAGGAGAGGAGAGGCGGATGATGATGCCGTTGCTGCTGCTGGTGTTTCTGGGAGTGGTGCTGCTGCTGCTGATGGTGCTGATGGTGCTACTCTTGCTGTAACAGGGTTGAGCGAACGGGATAGGCGAGAGGGTAGAGATGGGGAAGAGAGAGCAGGGGCGGGCGGTGCAGAGGAGGCAGAGCAGCAGCGGAGCAAGAGGGCTGCGGGGGAGAGGAGGGGCACAGAGCAGGGGAGCAGCGGTGCAGGGGAAGAGGGAGGTGTGGGGCGGGCGGGGGGTCACAAGGCCATGCCTGGTGGGGCATCACACAAGGATGGTCCGAGAGTTGGCGCCACTACCCCGACCAAAGCCAAGGCTAAGCTGTCTGCTGCTTCTGCTGCTGCTGCCAGCCGCCCTGTGCCTCCTACTCGCTCCGCTGCTGTCCTTTCCCCCCCTCGCCCCTCCCCGCGCCCTCCCCCTCGTGCCTCCCCCCGTGCGCCCCCCCATGGGGCAGCAGCAGCGGATCGCGCAGCGGCAGCCATGGCCGCCGCCAGGAGCCTGGGAGGCCTGGGAGGGGGGGGGTTGGACTGGCCCCTCGTTGACACTCCCGAGGGTTTAGAGACAGAGACCTGTGCGGACGCCCAGCCCACTCCTGAGAGCCTTGAATCCCCGGAGAATCCCGAGGATTCAGTGAGTTTTGAGGCTCTTCAGATGCGTGTGAAGGCTGTAAAGGCGGCAGAGGTGGCGGTGGGGAAGGGTGGAGCAGAGGCGCGGGGGAGGGGTGGGGGCAAGGTGGGTGTGGTGGGGGAGGGGGAGAAGAGTGGTGCGGGGAAGGGGGTGACGGGGGGAGGAGAGGGGGGGAGGAAGTGAGGGGGAGAGGGGGGAGGGTGGCTGGGGCGGCGGGGGCGGCAGGTGTGGGAGCAGTAGTGAAGACTGTATTAGCAGCTGAGGCGAGGGGTGGGGATGGGGGGGGTGGGGGGATGGGGGAGGTGGGTGGTGATGGTGGCAAGGGAGACGAGTGGATCGTGTTGGAGCCGGGAGAGGAGGAAGAGGAGGATGAGAGAGGGATGGGACGGGGAGTTGAGCGGGAGAGGCAGGGAAGGATTGCAGGGGAGGGGGAGGGAGAGGAGGAGAGTGTGGATGTGGAGGAGGCTGATGACGATACTGATGAGGAGGGGGGGGGAGGGGGACGATGAGGAGGAGGAGGAGGAGGATGAGGAGGAGGATGACGGGCGGTTTGACATGGACGGGGGTGCGGTGGCGGCGCTGGCAGCAGCGGGGATAGACATCAGCATGCACGGCACGAGGAGCCTCTCAGAGGCTGACGTGGCAGCTGCCTGCCACCAGTGAGTGTGTGCGACTTTGTGCAAATAGCAGCGGGGATGGAATGTTGTTCACAGTGATGGCAGCCCCTTATGTTGCATACTTTCCTACACATCTCTCCCACCCCCAACCCCCACCGCTCGCATAAGGTGCGGAGCACCCTTCATAATGGCTCTCCTGCACGAGGTGGCTTGAGAGGCACCCTTAATTGATCCGTATACCTATCCCCTTGATGCGTCCATGATACCCCTTTTTTTCCCCCACCCCCCTTTTCCTCTAGCCCCCTCCTCCCACGCCCCTCCGCATAGGTACAAGCGCAGCCTTCATATTGGCTCTGCTGCACGAGGTGGCCCGCGAGGCACCCTTGAACGAGGTAGCTTCACACCCCGCCCGCTCAATGCTTCCATGTCGTGTCACCCCTTTCCACCACCACCCCCCCCTCCTCCTCCCTCCACACATCAGGTACGGGGCGGCCTTCATAATGGCGCTGCTGCACGAGGTGGCACGGGAGGCATCGCACCGCCGCCACCTGCACTGGCCCTCCATCGCCACCCGCCTCTCGGCCAATCACAGCTTCCCTGTCGCCAGCCTGGCGCTCTGTCAGCTGCTCTGGCGCTGGCTCGCCTACGGCCGTCCCTTCTCGCACCTTGACACGCTGCCCTCCGCGCCGCTGCTGGTGAGTGTTTGGGCTCCTTGCAACAAAGGATGTCCCCCTGTCATCCTCTTCTTATGCTGCCTCGCCTACGGCCGTCCCTTCTCGCACCTCGACACGCTGCCCTCTGCTCCCTTGCTGGTGAGGTGCTCTCCAGTTTTCCACTCTGCCAGCTGCTCTGGCGATGTCTCCCCTACGGCCGCCCCTTCTTGCTCCTCTACACGCTGCCCTCCGCACCGCTGCTGGTGAGCTGCTCTGATGTTCTCTCCTCTGCTGTCAAGAGGGAAGGTGCCCTGCTGCCCTGCTGGTGAGCCTGCATGGCTGAACCTGCCACTGATTGCTGCAGGCGCTTCTGCCTCGAATGCTGCTGCAGTCACCAGACCACCTGCAGTCTGTTGCGTTGCAGCACTGCATGAAATTGCATCGTGGGCACATGGTCTGGCACTTGATACATGCATGTGTTTTTTCTATCGAATGGCGAACCATGGCGCATGTGTGGTCATGCGTTTAAAACATGTCACATGGCACATGGCACGGCACTTTGTGGGTGCAGCAGGAGTGGGGGAAGAGTGATTGAGAGGACGAGCTGGAGTATCCTCAGAACCCATCGCCTTATGAGACACCTGAATAACGCATGTCGTCCGCGCGCATGGATTACAACACATGCGCATGGAATTGCACAGAGTGAGTGCGGCGGCCATGAGCTTTGTGGCTCAAGAGCATATGGAAAACGTTTTTTAGGTGTCCCGAAAGGCAATCGCTTTAAGAAAAAACTCTTTTGAAACGCCCTTCTCTTCCTCCTGCCACGCGCACACACACACAATTCCTAAAGGCGTTGGCCCAAAAAGGGTGGCTTGCACCACACAAATCATGGCATGGCAGTCACTCTGTGTGTGCGTGGATGTGGCAGGAGGAGGAGGAGAGCGACCAGGAGGAGGACTGGAATACCATCTGGGCACGCTGCCTTTCGAAAGAAACGAATAACCCATGTCTTATGCGTGCGCACATGGCATGTCACTCTGTGCACGCGTGCGGCAGGAGAAGGAGGAGAGCGATCAGGAGGACGAGCTGGAATACATCCCTTAATCAACCTATCTCATATGCGCTTGTGCCACACAAACCATGGCATGCCATGGCATGGCTTGTGTGGGCGTGGCAGGAGGAGGAGGAGAGCGACCTAGAGGACGAGCTGGAATACCCATTGAACCAGCGCCTGTTGGAATACCTGATTAACGCATGGCATATGGCCGGCACTCACCCTGTGTGTGTGGGGGTGTGTGCGGGTGTGGCAGGAGGAGGAGGAGAGTGATTTAGAAGACGAGTTGGAGTATCCGCTGGACACATCGCCGCACCTCATCTCTGCTGCTGCTTCATTTGTCAAGGTGTGCGGACGGGGTTTGAGTCGACTCAAAACTCATTTTGAGACGTCTCAAAACTGGACGGGGTTGGAGTGGACTCGAAACTTGTCAAGCTGCATGCGCGGATTCTGGCGTGCTGTACTCAGGTCTATCTGGCTGCTCTGTTGGTTGGGGCTCTTATGAACCAAGCAAAGCTGGTTCTGAATCGCGTGAATTGAGGTCACTGGTACCAGTGTTGAGCAGTTCAGCTGTTGAGCTGTGGATCTGCTGAGATTCAGAACCGTCAACCAATGGGGCCTGCTGCTGAGGGGGGAGAGAAGAAACACGAAAGCAGTCTCGAGGAATCAAAGTGGGCTTTGTATCTTCCTGAAAAGGGTCTCTTAACTTGTGCAGTCCAACTGGGCTTTTAAGTTCCTTCATTTGAAGCGAACTTTCATCATTCCTGCCCGTCTCACTGCTTGCCTCTCTGTGCACTGCAGGCTGAGTTGGCGGATACAGGCATTGCCTATGGTTGCCACCACTCGTGGCATCCAGGGAAGCGCAGAGCACAGCAGGAGCCGGCGGAGAGTAGAAGCAGACCATCTTTATCCCTGCTCATGCCCTTTCTCCCACTTGTGCACTGCAGGCTGACTTGGCTGATGCGGGCATTGCGTATGGTTGGTACCACTCGTGCCACCCAGGGAAGCACGGCACTTCCGAGGCGCCTCAAAAGCAGGGTGCGCAGAAGCAGCAGGAGGATGAGGAAGGCGGTCAGCAGCAGCGCAAGGAGCATCAACAGCAGCACCAGCAGCAGCGGCACACACAAGGAGCTGATTCTCTTGATCCTTGGGACTTAGGCACCCCTGCTTCCGCCGCCCATTCCCAACCCCATGGCCTTTCCGATCAACCCGGGCAGAGACACACCTCCGCCCCTTTGCCCCTTGTCGAGCTGGCTGCTGCTGAGCCCGGCAGGGGAGGGATGGGGATAGAGGAGGGTAAGGGCGAGAGAGGGGGCGTGGAGAGGAGAGGGGAGGGGGGGAAGAAGCGGAAATGGGAGGGGGCAACACAAGGGAAGGGGGATGGGGAGCAGCAGAAAAGGAAGGGCGGGGCAGGAAAGGTGGGTGATGGGCGGGAGGGGAAGGAGGGCAGAGCGGTGAGTGGTAGAGATGATGGGGAGGATGGGGGGAATGGGGGGAAGGGGAATGGGGATGGGGGAGAAGGGGATGCAGAGGGTAAGGAGGAGGAGGATGAGGACGAGGAGGAGAACAAGCCAGTGGCTCGTCTGGTGAGTCAACACGCACCCGTGTCCAAGGGTGCAGATGGTGCACGGGCGGACGGTGGGGTAGGGAAGGAGCAAGGCAAGACAGGGGATGGAGCAGGAGGAGGAGGAGGAGGAGGAGCAGGAGGAGGAGGAGGAGGAGGAGGA